GTGTACTGGAGCAGCTGCGATGTTTTACATGACAGCAGAGTTTTCTTTAGTGGTGAATACACTTCTTTTTATTTTTAACTTGAGGTTACGTCGTCTCCTTGTATCAGCACAGGCATAATGGTGTCATATAGAAAATGCATGCAGACAAAATATATCAGTAGATAAGCACGGTGAATAATTTCATGAGAGTGTCTGACATCCATTTTTTATATTGTTAAGTATGCCCTTCGTGAAATTGAGTGAAGCTTCGGGATGCCTACTCGTTCAAGGTTGAGTGAAGAGACACAACGCGAATCAAGGAAAAGGAAGCGTGTACTCTAATGACTCACGCTTCACTTTCGCGTGAACTTTCTTCCCGAATTTCATTATGACACTTCCGCATGCCCACGCTCCCGTGATCAGGGCATAACAACGCACCTTGGAGCTCGTTTCGGTGCCTTTCTGAACACCTGTATGCTCCTTTGCTTCGAACTCACGAACCCGAAGCTCTTTTCCGTCTGGGGTACCCAATTGCGTAGATCACCTCTTTAGCGCGCTTGGCCGCTGACAGTAAGCGCGGTTATTTTCGGCCGTCCACTGTCTTGCCTTTTTACTGCCCCGCGGACCGGTTGATTTTGCCTTAGGGAGGGGTTACATGATGTCTGATCGTTTTCCTTATCATTGCCGGTGCCGTTACGGCAGCCGAACGGCGGAACGTTTTGGCTGCTATGTGTTGCGACCTGCTAAAACGGTTCTCTTATTTTTTGTTAGTTTCCGGCTCCGCGGGCACACGCGGAAGTGCCCGCTTTCCCCGGAGAGAGGCGGTCCCCTCTATCGCCCTGACCCCGACAGCAGTGGGCCGACGGCGTGACAAAGAAAAGGGGGATCTAATGGACAGCGTGTTTAGCGTCCAAAGAAGACAGTCTTCGGGAATGGAGGGTGGGAAGAGCTCGCTACGAAAGCAGCACACTGCTGCCTCGCGCAACCCCAGAACTAATTTTGACCCGGTGCTGAAGGTGCACTATTTTTATTAGGACCACGGCTTCAAAAGAAAGAAACGATTAATGATAGAGTCATTTAGTGCAACTCTGGGGCTACGATATATGGCGTAATGATGTGCTCCGGATAATTTTTTACACACACACAACACACACACACACACACACACACACACACACACACACACACACACACATATATATATATATATATATATATATGTGTGCGTGTGTGTGTGTGTGTGTGTGTGTGTGTGTGTGTGTGTGTGTAAAAAATTATCCGGAGCACATCATTACGCCATATATCGTAGCCCCAGAGTTGCACTAAATGATTCTATTAATCGTTTCTTTCTTTTGAAGCCGTGGTCCTAATAAAAATAGTGCACCTTCAGCACCGGGTCAAAATTAGTTCTGGGGTTGCGCGAGGCAACAGTGTGCTGCTTTCATAGCGAGCTCTTCCCACCCTCCATTCCCGAAGACTGTCTTCTTTGGACGCTAAACACGCTGTCCATTAGATCCCCCCCTCCCCCTTTCTTTGTGTGTGTGTGTGTTTATATATCACTAGCATGCGTGATATCATTACTGATATATAACCGCATGTTTAACACTGTTGTAAGCTGGCGATTGTTCATAGCTCGTCGCGGTTCGCGAAGTGCAGGGATAAAGCCGTATACGGAGGTCTGGTTCTCAGGGGCGCTGCTCCGACTCCCGGAGTCGGCCGGTTTTCGGCAGCGTCGTCGGAATGTTGGCCTACATCCCCGACACCGCCTCCTCCTGCTGCCGTCCGGCCGCCCCTGCTTCTTTCCCCGTGTGCGGCATCGCGGCTTCGGCGCTGGAATGCGGGTCTGCGGCATCGGCGGCGTTCGATCGAAGCGCGCTCGGCTTATTTTCCATTCGCGGAAGTGCGCAGGTGCGTGCGTGGACACAAGAGGGCGTTCTTTTCAGGCATTCGCGGTGACGGTGTCCGTATGCCGAAGCTGCTTGTCAGTGTAGCGAAGCGTCCTCGTCCTCGTTTACTCTCTGTCTGTACATTTCATTTGAGCTAAGTTTCTTCACGTCGAGTAACCATGTTTCATTAACAAAGTGCTTGATTGAGCTGGTTGGTGCTGCATGGTAGACGAAGAAAGTGCTTAACAGCGCATACGACAAGAGAGGATAGAAGAGAGGAGAAGAGCGCTCTGTACTCGTTTCTTCTATCCCCTTTAGTCGTCTGCGCTGTTAAGCACTTTCTTCGTCTACCATGTTTCATTGTTTACAAGAGGGTGGCGTCAAACGTGCGTGGCTCAGCTAAATCGCTGTGAGTGCAGCCCAAGACGCGACGAGTGAACAGCACTATGTCTTTCTGACCACAAACGTATGTCCACCAGCAATTTTTCTTGGCCAGACACCAACAGTGCAACTGCGGTCACAAGAGCAGTTATTACCTTTCTAGAAACAACTGGACTATGTGCGCGGCTATAAAATGTGTCTCAGCTAGAAAGAACACTACATACTCACCTCTCTATCCCACCATCGTCATCCATTAATCTTTCTTTTCCCCTTTCCCTTCCCCCAGTGTAGAGTAGTAGCAGGCTAGAGCAAGCTATCGCTCAGGCCGACCTCTCTGCCTTTCTGTAAATAAACATACTTCCTTCCTTTCTTCTATATGAGTAACACGACATTGTAGACGTCTTCAAGCTTTACTAGGCTCAGCATGCTCATTTGTTACTTGTTCATTGTCGATTCCATGCGGCAATACCAATGGCATCAATGAGCCAGAAGGCAACTGTCACCCGCATAGCTCTTTATTTATTGATTTTTTTAAAAATGATAGAAAGAAAAGAGTACGAAGTGAGCCAGATGAACAAAAAGTTCGAAGTTCACACACACACACACACACACACACACACACACACACACACACACACACACACACACACACACACACACACACACACACACACACACACACGCACACGCACACGCACACGCACACGCACACACACGCACACACACACACACACAACGTTCGGAGTAAGGTTCACTGGACAACTGAAATCGAATGCGTTATTTAGTCTTGCAAGAAAAAAAAAATGTCTGAAGTTAAGGCAAGGAGAATGAAATAAACAGAAAAGGAAAAAAGTGAGAGATTACAGAAAAGGGATTCCCGGAGTGCATAATTGCGTGGGAAACTGGGATGCAACTGAAATCGACAACCAGGGGCAAGCGTTCGCCATAGTTTTGCTTTGACTGCCGAAGACGAGTTGCAAGATCTCTGCGATTATAGCCTGCTGTTCTGAGCACCGAAGTGATATGGGACATACGCGGAGATGTCGATAGTCCTTCCACTACCGTCGTTCGCTGCCTCCACGAACGGTGGTAATGAAACCTGAGTTTCTTTCAGCCGTTTCTGGGTAACGAGCCCGTGTGGCGTGTAGTTTGCGCAGTGCCCGGACACGCTTCGATGGGAGCCGTTGCGATTGCGCTATATTGGCTGACCTTGTAAGTGCAATCAATATTAGTGCAAACGACATACGCAGCGCGCCATTTACAAGCCGCGCTACTGAATTACTTTAAGCCGCAGTTTTCTCGCCTTAGTAAGAACGGCGTTATTTCTGCCCCGCGATACTGGCAAACCAGACGGATAGTGAGAACGGTCACGCAATGCTATTAGTATCAAGAGATAAAGTACGAATTTCTAGCGTTGCTCTGACAGCCTTCCATTTTCTGGCCAAGCTGTTGCCTCTGAGCTTGAAACAGAATCGTGAGCGAGGCTGATCGCCTCGCTTCGACTTGTGCCCGCGAGTGTGACTGCCACGAAATTTCATGCCGGTGTGACAACGCCCATCTGCTGATCCGCCGACATATTCTAAAGCAGTGCCCAGATCAGCGTGTCACACGCGGATTGTTTCCTCCTTGTATACGTGGTCGTAGATTGACTCGTCATGACAGAGCCCTGTCATACGAACTAAGAGTTGGTTCTGTGTCGGTGCGCAAACGAGTGCGGACAGTCCGATATGTTCATCGTGCGGCTCCTGTAAGACACTAGAACACATCATTCTAGAGTGCCCTATACAATCGTCGTGCAGCGAGCACAACACTTAAGAAGGACTATGGGCTGATTGTACTTAGGTGCACGACCCTTGCCGATCGTCCTTCCCAGAAAAATGTGCTTATCGAGGCCTTTTATCTCGGACCTATCTAAGAAACGACTTTCCTCTGTGTCTACGAGTTTTGTGAATACAAAGCAATAATAAATAAATAAATAAATAAATAAATAAACAAATAAATAAATAAATAAATAAATAAATAAATGCCTTCAGCACGGCCGATTTTGTAAGTGGTATGTGCCAAGTATCGCGATACACACCCACATGCCGTAGCGCCTGTATGTTATTCATTGTGATATAAATGGTAGGCGAGGTAGCAGTTTCGTATACTCCTTGAATTCTTGAGGGATGTATAGAATGACATTGATATATATGTACGGGTTGTGTTCACTGCCCATCGCAACCAATCTGTTGCCTTCTATGATAATGTGTTCCAAGTCGAGATCAGATGAAACTCATTCTGACGGCAAACTATGGCATAAAAGTTCGTTTAATTTTCTTTTTTTTTTGAGCGGGGAGAGGTAAGAAGGGGGCCGGTGGCAAGGAGAAGGTAAGATACACAAATCATGTGCTTAACAATAAAAACGTTTATTACCTAGAGTTGTTTCCAAATAAGAAAGTTAGCAACGCTTTTGGGCTCTAATTCAAGACATCATTGTGTAAATTGTTCCCAATTAAAAATACCGGACAGGTCGATCCGAGGCAGCATAATTAGCGATGACTTCCAGTCCATGGCAAAGAGTACTCACGAAAACAAGGCTGCGCGAACATCACCGCAGATATGCGACAAGAGAGTGCCCAGACGAAGCTATTCTCTCTCACACCTCATATATTATGTAAAGACAAAATCAAACGTTTTTGGACTCAGAGAATTGGCCTACAAGTGTGCCTACACACAGAGTGAGGACGGGATGAAATAGCATGCCATACAGACCGCGATGGGTGACGTGAGGTTCTCGTTGAGCCTGAAGCGGATTCCGACAGACAGTGGGCCAGGAATCTGCACGGGGTTCGGGTCCAGGTCGAAGCCCGTCACGAACAGCGGATCCGTCTCTTCGCCGCAGTTATTGAAGGCCAGCCGCGCATAGCCGCGACGCACAGACGGTCCGGAGGCCTGCGTGATGTAATAATAATTGTTAGAGTTCAGTGTCACAAAAAGACGATAAGAGCATGAGGGACGCAGTAGCGGGGTTCTCCGGAAAATTAGACCCTCTAGTGTTCTTTAACGTGCACCTAAATCCCGGCGTACCTTTTTCATTTCGCCTCCATTGAAATGCAACCGCCTCTGCCGGCATTCAATCCCGCGATTTTCAGGTCAACAATAGAGCACCATACACACAGTACCACCACGATGAGTTGGATATCATATTATAGCGAAGGCTGCAAGCCAGTACAAACTGCGAAGTAAAAACTGTGAATTCTCCCGCTGATCTGTACTTAAGCGATTCATGTCTGTCATAATTTGATCATATAACAAAAGAGACGCACCATCCCGGCCCAAAATTGTTTTCTGTATTTATTTATCCCGTTTCGACGCGTAATGGTTTCCGGGTTTCATTCACAGTCGCGGCTAATATGGTTAGCAACATGTCGTCTGCACTCAATGTAACGTGACCGCTGTAAAGCCGAGCCGACGTAGCAAAACACAGCGATGCAAATTATATAAACCAGTCTAACGTTTGCAGATGCCACCGTTCAGTGTTGAGACCCCTTCAGCCACAGCCACCACATTGAAACTCTTATCGAGCGCCCCTGAGTCTGCCTTGCCCCGACCATAGAGTTTCCCAAAATTCGAAGCCATATCGCTCAAGTCGACCTCTTTGATAAGTCTGAACCGCTGTAGTTGAAAAGTTCTACTTCAATAGTTTTTGCCAGCCAGTGGATTAGAGAAAGAAGTGCGTAACGTTGGAAAGAGACTTTACAGAGAAATAAAAAAAAATGACCACGATGTCGCTTATATGTCTATCTTTCTTCAACTTTATGAACGCCCCCATATCTGCTGCCATAGAGTTTCCTAAAATTAACTAGAGGCCTTCCTCCGTGACTAGAGGGCACTCTGGCGCTGCGATCGTTCAGCGACTACGGGAATGATGGGTAGTACACACATTTGCCTATAGTCTTCGTACTTGCGGGCGGCGAATCGTACTTGCGGCTTCGTTTATTGCTGTGTTTCGGTTTTGTTTTGAAAGAGAGATTGAACCCTTTTGAACTTCGTGAGCTAATTTGGAAAGTAAGTCTAAAAAAAGTAAAAGGGTGAAGCGCAACCGCTGAACATTTGCTAATACTTGTTTCGTTAAGAAAACAGCTCCAAGCCACACGAACACAAACGGAGCCAAAAGCAGGCCAGAAGTACTAATATTAGACAAATGTGTGTACTACCCATCATTCCCATGCTCGCTGAAGCGCCGTGCGTTGCAGCTCCCATAGACACTAGCGCCAGAGTTCCCTCTAAGTAAGTATTGTGGGAAACTCTATGGACCCGACGAGCTCTTCCCTCGAACAACCAATTTCGGCTCGCAGAGACAGTCACTCTGCAATGCACTAGATGAACTGGACAACCAGCCTCTTTCGGAAGAAAGAATCCTGCGCTGCCGACAGGACTTTATGTCGCAGAAGAAGGCTGTCAAGGCGCTCCTGCGCTTCTTGCGTTCAACCGGCCTGTCCAAACGACTGTGATCGGAACTCCCTGAATGTGGGCGCATTGTGGTGTTTTTTCTATTATTTTATATCTCTCTATATCTATCCCTCTTTCAAACCCTTTCCCCACCCCCGTACAGGTAGCAAACCAGTTCGTCTAGGTTACATCCCTGTCTCTTCCTTTTATTTATTTCTCTCTCTCTTGGCTCGAGGATTGTCAACTATGCAAGTGCAAGTCAGGCGAATAGCAGCCTGCACTCAGAACCCGCGCTGACGTAAGCTTTGTGCGTCCTCGTAGACTCAAGCAGTCCGTCCCCCTTTGGTGCCAGTATGGAGCGCCCTTTATTTTCAACCGCCAGTGGAGATTCGTGCTCGCCACCCGATCGTGACGGGAGTCGTGAGTGTGCGTATATAAAGCAAACACGGTCGCGGTGCGTCTCGAGGGATGCGACCTGATGGGTTCTTGATGGTCGTTGCAGAAGCTGCGATGGCCGCTCGTCGCCGGCCATTGTGATCGCGGGCGCGTCTTGCGTGACGGAAGGAGCTGGCGCGAGATGTTTGCCCAGATAAGGGTCACTCGGTTTACGCACACGCCACGTGCACGCGAAAAAAAGAAAAGAAGAAAAAAGGCCCCACTGCTGCCGTGCCTCTTATGTGTCCACCTACGGTCGAACAATCTGACTTGGGCCTGTATTCACAAATGCTTCTTCGAGACAAAAAAAAAAAATAAATGCGCACAAGCATGTGCTGGACGACTGCTTACCGAAGGCAACGGAAAATGCACTTACTAAAAAAATAGTTTCGTGAATTATGACCCAGAACTTTGAAAGCCCCGTTTCACTACGTACTGCACTGCACGCATGCGTACTCTAAGAAAAAAAATGTGTGACGTCACGAGCCTGAAAACGGCGGAGGATGGAAATTTAAAAAGAATTCAGATGGCACAGAAAGTGCTGATAGTCCCGCCGCGGTGGTCTGGGT